TGGTATTATTATTCATTCTATTGAGATGGTGTTTAGTTATACATACTAGTACTATTCGATAGTACTAACGTCCTTTTTGTCGGGGGCGCTGCATCTTTAAATGGATGCAGGTGGTGTTGATCAACGATAGTGGTACACCCTCTTTCCAGCAGACTTGGTGAGCCTCACTTCATCCGGGGGTCATGTAGCGTATCTTTTGTTTGTATTATTACCACGTTTTGAGGTATAGCCGGAGCCTTGTTGCTGACATTATTATTAACACTCTTTTGTATCTTCTAGAAGCTCCGTAGACATAGTGTGGTATATATATATATGGGTGCCGGGAAAGTCAAACGAGTTATGTTGTGTTTGAATCATTTATTCCACTTCAAACTATGAAGGTGTGCGTATTTTGAGACAGTAACTAATGGAAATGACTTGGTATTGTATACATGATCTCCCTATTATCTAATTAATGAAAATATGTCTTCTCTTTATTCATGAGCGAGTTTGGGTAGAAAGAATCTAATAGGCTTGCTCAGCCGGGTTCACTCGGTTGAGCGTTGGTCGCGCTCCCCGAGTTTGGGGCATGACACTAAATCCGACAGTAATCTGATGAATACGTAATACACATCTTCACGTAAACTATTATCACGGATTAAATATGTATTCTTACCTTAATTTATTCATTAACCATAATAAATTAAATTAATATGATTTGACGTAAAAGGGCAGCTCTTACCTACACTAACGTGCCTGAAATAAGATAAAACCCTTCTTTGCAACCAACATTTTCTCCTTCAAAAAGAAGATTTATTTGACAAGCAAACAAGTATTAACCACTAAGCTCGCTCTCATACGGACCAACCACTGTCCCAACTTGAATGATATAATATTCCTTAAAGGGCACCCAGATAATTCACAGGATCATCAGACTTAATACTTTATAGGAAAAATCATTTATTATGTAATTCTGCATGCAAAAATAAGTTGTAACACTAACACCAAATATAATCTGATAAACAAGAATACTCAAGTTGCTTTCACTCATATGCTTGCTACTGTTACTACTAGCATTCAAAATTTATTCAGAATGCTAATTCCTTACAGAAATCGAAGAAAAAACTCAAGAACTCTAAATCTCCCACTTGAATACCACTCTCTTTTTGTTCCAACTATTCCTAACTTCCGAGTATGTCTCAAAGTAATCCTTGAAGCTTCTAAGAATTACAAAAACAACAACAATAACAGCAACATACTCGGTGTGATTCCACAAGTGGGATATGGGGAGGGTGGGGTATACACAGACCCTACCCCTATCTTGAGTGAGGTAGAGAGGTTGTTTCCGATAGATAAGAATTACAGAAATGAAAGCTGAAATAAGTTTACTGAATCTACATGAAATGGACTTGAAAATTTTACAAAAAGGAAAAAGGTTCGTTCACAGGACATCTAACCTCCAAAAGAATGTTACAATGGTTGCACCAGAAAGAGACATTCTGTACCTATTGCTCCTACAAGGCTACAATCCCACAATTCTACCCAAAAAGGAAAATGGAAAAGAAAAAAAGTGAAAACAAGATATGAACTGATTTCATAATTTCATGATCTTCTCAAAGAATAAGAGGTGGGAAAAAGGTAAGCCAAGATAGAAGTCATTATGATCTTTACTTAACTTAGGTTCTACACTCTGCTATTTCTCTACTCTAATATCAACAAAGGCAAATCATGCTAAAACTATCTATGATGGTGTTGATCTCTAGACTCCATCTCCCTTACATTGTGTACAATATCTTGGATCTTCTTGGACAGAGATTGGTTGTGCTCCTCAATGTGCTCGAATATCATTTCCAAATGCCTCTTATATGTTGCTGATCTCTTTTTCTCAGCTGCCAGTTGTTGTGATAGCTCCCGGATTTTGTCATGCTCATTCTACAGGAAGAAGTTGAGAAACCAAAACAAGAGTAAACTGAAGTCATGTAAAGGTAGTTCCTTGAAGATGAACATGAAGCATAAAATCTAAGTTTTACATGCATCAACAGACAAAGACCATAATTTTAAAACTATTGCTATAAGCGGCAATTGCTAAATCGACAATAGAACGTTGGTTACNAAAACTCCCAACCCACCCCCATTCCAATTTGTATGATCTAGTGATCTAGTGTAAGTGCACTCGCAATGATAATTATTTGAATTTAATGACAGAATTACCATCTCTAAGTACTTGTACTATTTGAGATATCGTTTCTGAATTCGGATCTGATGTTTTTGCTTAATCAGTACTTTAAGTGTATTTCCAGCAAAAAATACACCCCTCATGACTTCTATAAACATTGTTTCTCAACATACCAAAAAGAGCCAAAAAGGATTATGTTTCAAGGTCATCTAACATCAATTTAACTGATGTGGAAATCCAAGGATAAGGTGACTTATGAATATATACCCTGTTCACAAAGACACGGACGAAAACAGTTTATAGATTCTCAAAAAATCTTAACTGAATAACCATTCGCACAATTAACAAAGCATAATTTTTTACAACACAATTCCCAAAATGGAAAGATGGAATCCCATATATCGAACAGTAATTGCATCAAAGAATAATCAATAGTCAAAACGACAGAGAAGGATATCTCTTACCAAATTTCTCCATTTTTTATAGTAATGATTTTTTTTTACCGAATGTCTCATAAACTATATAGTGATCCCTGTTTAAACATTAGCTCACTGTGAGCAGGATAGTGAATGGGGCCATAACCAAAGCAAACTGGGCAACTATTTACGACATGGCATCGCTCAATGTGATCAAAAAGCTACGATACCCCTTCCTCACCAAGATAGAAGTTGCATTCTTAGATGTAAGGTACGAATTCCATTGCTCCTTTTTTGATCTCTTCAAAATTTTCTTCTCGTATATGTTGCCTTCAAATCCCTAACTGCACCTGTGTCAATCCGACATGATATGGGTGTGGGATTCGCACTGTATCTGGTCAACCTAACTCGGGTGCTTTGACAACACCCATGGCCAAGAAACATCTATAGAGTGTAGCAAGGAACCTTGGGTTAATTGGGTATTTGGTTTGATTTTGAGTATGTCATAAAGATTATAGTTCACATAAAGTGGTAGAACACTTTGCTACTATAATTAAGTATTTAAATAGAATTTAATTATAGTAACTTTTATTAAATAGAATTTATTAATTGTTTGCAATGTATACATATATAGTAATATACAAACATTGGTTTTATCTTAACATCCGTACCTATACTCCTACTCGTATCCTGAATCCTAAGATTTAGGTGATGATGAATCCAACGTAAGATCCGCACCAGTATCGGGTGCCCATACCCATATCCGAGTATCATAGGTTCTCGTAACCATAAGTTTTGAACCGAAATGGAACTATCGTTTATATCTTTGTCCGACAGTATAGATTGATTAACTCGTCTAATATAAAGGCACCTAAGAAAGTAGCATTTCATGCTAACAGTACAAAATTTGAAAAGCGGAAGGATAATGTTTAGCTGGTGTTTCTTTTGCGAGGAAAATGGTGAGGAAGTGGAATGTAAACACACATTGTATATTGACACCAACTTGGTGTATATTGACGAAATCATTTTGACTTATAAATCAAAGTAGCGTTAGAAATATGCAAATACGACCAAAGCAGCTTATAAGATCACAGTTACAAGTTTTTCCTTTTTTTTTTTTTTTTTTTTT